ACAAGTAGGGGGAGTGGCAGAGGGAGAAGCAGGCTTCCTGCCTAGCAGGGAGCCCGATGTGGGGCTCAATCCCAGCACCCTGGGATCATGACCTGAGCCGAAGGCAGATGCTTAATGACTGAGCCACCCAGGCACCCCACAGGTACTATTCTTATAGTCATACAGTCAAATCTTGATTCCTATCTCTTATTTTTGGTAGTACTGTATTGTTAACTGCCTAAGAGTCTTCTGCAGTTCACTGTCTCTTCAGAACATGTTGCTGGCTCAAAATACCAATTCCCATGGGTCTTGCCTTTCACTGAATAGTTTGTGGTAATGAGAAAGGAGGTGATATGAGAGTATGAGAGAGAAAGAGAGAGATTAATCTGCTTTCTAGCAATAAGGTCCATATCCTTGGCCATAGGTAGTGCATTCTTTGGTTCTTCACCCCAGAAATATTATTCTGGTTTCTGAAAAAATGAAAATGTCCAAGAGGAATTTTTTAATTTGTACTTTTTTCAGTTCATAGTATTTTTACTTTTTTCTGTTTGTAGACATAGACATAGGAGGAAACCATTATCAAAGGTTATGTGAAACCCAGGAGCACTGGCTGAGATCTCTTGTCACTAACTTTAGTGATTGCCACTAGCAACAGAAATCCTTCATAAATTTATGTTTGCCCTTTTCGTTCAGCTATGTTTCCCAGGTGCCTAAAACAATTCTTGTTAGTAGAAGCTCAATAAATACTTGTTGAATGAATGAAACAATTATATCCCTCCTTTACTTTCCTCCTACCTACTTATCTTCCAACATCATTTGAGCTCTATATGCCACTTACAGTAAAAGTGGAGATGAAAAAGTCATGATCAGTTTGTGAAATACAAACAGTTCATGCTTTTTAGTTCTATTTTTCAAGATAAAATCCCAATGAAATGCCTCCCTCCTTCCTCACACTAGGCAAATTGCCAGGACTTGTGTTAAATGAACATACTTTATGAAACTTTTCTATAGAAAAATAAAGCTGCCAGAATTTGATATTTATTTCTTGTATTTTAAGTTGGAATTTCAAACTTGATTTTCTATAGAAACTGTTATAAGTGATAGTTAAAATTCTTTTGTGCTATCACTATATAATGATCACTTAGGCTTCCCATGAATCAAAGAAACTTTTGTGAATTGTCTTAAGATTTTTTGGTATAGTATTGTTTCTTAGGGAAATACATGATACGTTTATAATAACTAATGATACATAAATTGTATGGATTTAAACTGAAAGTTGGACTTTTCCAATGTGTAGAATAGCTTGTATATTTAGTATATTTGGTTCATTATACTTTAATAATTCATCTTTTATTTATTTATTTTAAAGATTTATTCATTTAATTTGAGAGAGAGAGCATGCGCACACATGCAGCAGGGTGAGAAGCAGAGGGAGAGGGAGAGAGTCTTAAGCAGACTCTGTGCTGAGTACGGAACCCAATGCAGGGCTTGACCTCACAACCTGAGATCATGACCTGAGCCAAAATCAAAAGCTGGAATAGACTTAATCGACTGCACCATCCAGGCACCCCCATTCATCTTTTAAAAAAACTTCTTAAAATTGTACGTAACCTTCTAAAGATATTTAAACAACAACTAGTTTCTTGAATGATCCCTTCTGGGTTGTTGTAAAATTTAGTTGTCTTTCTTTGATTATTTTGTGTTTTCTATATAAATAAAAAGTATCTCAAGTGGCATTGTTCTTTGAGAGTGTAGTAGTGGGCACTACATGACAAATATTGAAAGATTTTAGTCAAGACCATGGAAAATTTCCCTCTTTTCCAAATTCATTGTTCCTACCTTTTTTTTTTTCTTATATACCTGTCTTTTCTCACTTGTAGGCTGGTTAATTCCTCTTTAAAATCTATGCCATACCAATACATCTGTGTACTGGTTAGTGTTTTGGTTCTCTTCAAACTTGCTGGAGGGACAGGGTAGAATATTAAAAATAAGTTTATTTTCTCTGAAAACTCTCCTAAAAATATCTTCCTCTTCTAGCTTGGGACTATTTCTACTCATTCTACTTGAACCCAAATTTAAAGTTAAATTGAGATCTAGTCTGCTGGGAAAGAAATGGAACATATAAACTGGAAAGAGGGAAGGAATAAACATAAAAGCATAGTGCCAAGAAGGTGTGAGCTGGTTCTGGAAGGGAAAGACAGTCATAGTGCAAATGTATTGATTGATTCAAAAAACATTATTAATTCAGCAAATTTTGAGTGCATGCCTGAGCTGAGTAAGCTTTGGGGACAGAGCTATGATTAAGATAGACAAAGGAGGGGCGCCTGCATGGCTCAGTCAGTTAAGTATCTGCCTTCAGCTCAGGTCATGATCCCAGGGTCCTGGCATCAAGTCCTGCATCAGGCTCCTTGCTTAGCGGGGAGCCTGCTTCTCCCTCTGCCACTCCCCCTGCTTGTGCTCTCTCTGTGTCTCTGTCTGACAAATAAAATCTTAAAAAAAAAGATAGACAAAGGATCCGACCTAAGTGGAAGAGATAGGAGTGAATAATTAAGTAATTAAAATTGCTCCATCATATGAAGAAATCAGTGTCCTGAAATAGAGATTAACGTGTATGTAGTGTAGTAGTGGTGGTTGAGGCTGAGACATATATTGGTAGAAAGGTCAGAGTAGGCCTCTCTACCACAGTAGTATTCAAGTTGGCACTGAAAGTTGGAAGAATGAGCTAGACAAGTGGACCAAAAAGAGGCCCTGAGTCAGGAAAGAATTTGACTTCTTGTATAATGTATAGGAGCTGATCCCAACTATAATCAAATAATAGTTATTTGAAAATACATTGATAGGAACAGGAGGGCCACTCCTGTTGATCATGAGTTAAAAAATATAAGACTCAATAGATAAAATATAGCAGACTACCTGTAGTATTTGAATTGACTCAAATTACTGGCTTTATAGGCCAGCACTGTCGAATAGAACTTACTATGGTGATGGAAATGTTGTATAATTTTGTGCTATCCAATATGGTAGCCATTAAACAAATGGGACTTTTGAGCACTTGAACATAAGCTAGTATAATTGATAGATGTTTTATTTAATTTTCATTTTAAATACAGGAAATTTAAATTTAAGTAGATGCATGTGGCTTGTGGCTCTTGCATTGGGCAGTGCAGTTCTAGACTGTCCATCTGATGAATTACTCAAGTTTAAAACCTTGAAGGGTTGATTTTACATCATCCCATGATGATATTAGAAAATCAGTGATTTAAGGCAGAGCAAGATGGCGGAGGAGTAGGAGACCTGGATTTCCTCTGGTCTCAGGAATTCAGCTGGATAGGGATCAAACCAATCTGAACACCTATGAACTCAACAGGAGATCGAAGAAAAGAATAGCAACAACTCTGAACAGAAAAGCCACCACTTTCTGGAAGGTAGGACGTGTGGAGAAGTGTATCTGAGGTGATACTCGGAAGGATAGACGGCGGGGGAGGGGGCCTC